GATTTCCAATATCTCTTTATATTATTGAGTTGAGAACAACAACACTTATATATCAATAGGGTGTTAATATATTTCAATTAATTTAAAATATTTTTGAAAAATCAGCATTTTATTGCGTAAAAAGCTCACTTCAAAATTACAATTTTAAATTAGCAGAAAAAAAAAACAAAACTTACAAATAATATGAAAAATAAAACTTAGAGAATAGAAAATAGAAATTAAAAATCTCAAAATATTATGCAATAAATAGTCTAATGCATTCAAAATTACTGATTCATAAAATCGCGGCTAAAAGTACATTGCACTTTTATAATATTTTTTTCTATACTTTGAATTTTGAGTACATATTTTAGTTGTTTACATTTACGTATAAAATGAATTGTTTGACAATATTTTCGATTTACATATTTCACTGAATTTAGTCATTGAAATAATTTTAATAAATATTGGAAAGTTCTCGAAACTAAAATGAATAAAAATGGATATATTGTGTATAGTTACTATTAATTAACTGTGACATTAAACTTTTCTGATTAAGATTAATTGTTGGCTTGCAATAGTACATTTTGTTGTAATATTTATATACACAGGCCTTGTACAAAAGAGAGTCTTTTCCAAATTCATAAACATCTTTTAACAATATTGTTTAACCGATCAGATTTAGGAGTATCTGCTTTACTCATGAGAGATATCGGAATAACATAATGTATTTCTACTATGGAATTCAATAAAATAATGTTCTATTGTGATGTGAGGCCAAGCTTATGTATATGTATTGACGGATATTAAAGAAAAAAAAACTTAAACGTGAGGTAGTGGGTCAAAATCTTATTTGTGGTTTTGTCAGATACTAAGTCAGATAATCATCACCGAAATATTTAGGACATCCCGACCTCTTTTTGTAAAAGTATGAAATTGCTATGAAATTTCTTACCGGCGTTACAATGAGGAGATAGAAACGGCGGCACAAACCTTTCGCAACTACACATCGTTGAACAGACGGTGGCTTATATAACTTTATAGAGGTATGCGCTTGCGCGACATGCACTACACCCAATTTTACAATCAGCCAAGCAAAAATAAATCTTGTTACAATGTGCAAATCTGATTCATGATAAGTTTGTTTAGGCTGAAATTATCCTTGCTTCTGACTTTCTTATCAATTCCAAATTGTAATATTAATTTGTTGGAATTGTCAGTTTTGATTGAACTATAAATCCTCGACTCCATCGATAATTTTTTCAAATTTCACATTTCGGGTGATCGTAAAATATAAAATCAAAACGAAAATCCCAAAAAGCTTTAAATTACTTAATTGTTTACAAATTTCAAAGAAATTATTTCCGATATTTATATTTTAAGCTGTTATACATTTATATATATGTACATACTGTGAATATATAATGGATTAAATTACTGAATAATGACAAATTATTACGGCAACAACATTCTATGAATGTTTTCTAACAATTATGCTTATTTTATTTTGTTTTGCCTCGTTCATAATATTTGAGAGGTGAATGTCGCTTATATACAAAGTATACAAATTAAATATTTATAAAAGGTACATAGATTTAGATATGCAAATATTTAATTTATGCAATTTAAAACATAAATATACACAAATACACTACAATATACACACATACTAAACTCACTTGTATATTTCCTCTTCTGGGTTGAATTTTAAACTTTTTATTTTACATTAAAATTTAAGAATCACGTCATTTGATTTCATTTACTATGTTAAAAGCTTTGTACTTTCCACAAATCCGCAAGTTTGATCAGATGTTTTTTTTTTTAACTATTTCATAATAATTCTAATTAATTTATACTTTAAAGTTTACAACTTAACTTTAATATTCTTTAAGAATTACATAGTCTATTATACTTACACATTTATGCACACGCTCGTGTATATTTTTGTTCTACATTCTACATATACATATGTTGTACATACACATTATTCTTTCATGGAATATAAGCGTGTCATAATATTTTATACGAAAGCAAAAGTGAACTTTTGAAAAATTACAATTTATAGTGTGTAAGAATGATACGAGCAATACGAGCAAACTAATTGCATAATAAATATTGTACTTTAAAGTTTTCTTTAATTGTTACTAGATTGCACATACATAAATGCATCGTCAAACATTTGCTTGCACCTATTGTTGTTTATTTACGTTTTTTTTTACATTAAGCTATGCTTTTTTTGTTGTAACTTTAATGTCTAATACACTATAAAAATGTAAGAATATATGTATTTCAATTTGATAATACATGCTCACTAACACAAAATATAGATTAAAAAAAAATTTTGCAATAGTGATTATTTAATTTCGAAAGGTTTTCGAAAATGCAAACAATTTACTTGAAAAAAGATTTTATTAGAACTGAAATAGAGATGAGGATTTCTAATTTTCTGATAATATTTAATTAGTTTAGAATTTGTTAATAATTTCTATGGTGACAAAAGTGGACTTTAAAAAGATGTAAAAGGTTTTGAATCAATACATTCCAATCCCATAGTTTGTTTGTTAAGCATTTATTTTATTAAAATAATTTTGAAAGAGCATGAGACTTTGTTGAGTCGGAGTCGCGAGCCATTACCAGAGGTTCAAAAGTTCTCAAAATAAATAATAATAATAAGAAAAAATAAAATTTAATTGTGTCACAAAACGATATTCAATGATTTCTGACAGAGGTTCTCTAGGATGTGGCCTCGGGGTCTACCTTAAATTACTCACTCATTTACCAAAATATATCCAATTATTGCATACATTTCGGATGAGCAAAAAAAAAATTGAAACAAGTGTTAACATAGCGGTTGAATTGGATGGTGCAGTTACTGAATTTAGATAAGAGTGCATTTTCCGTTAACTTCTTGCTTTTATAGAAATTTGGAAAATCTTGCAGTTTCGGAAATATAAGATACCGAAAATTCAAATTTTATAAATTTGGAGAGGGTGGTGGTGGTGGTGTAAAAAAATTTTCTTCCAATGAAATAATTCATTTATTAGTGTCCAAAAGCTGGTAAAATTTCAACACTTCTATACACAATTTACAAAATTATATCAAAAATCTGAAAAAAATATGTTTTACATAACGGTTTATTTAACGGCAATTTTGTCATTTCAATGTTTAACTATGCTAATTCGTGATAGAAGAAATAAGAAATTTTATTATTTATTGATAATTTTATTTGGGCCATTTTATTATACATATACATATGTGTTTGTACATAATATCATAAATACATAATATCATAATATAACAGAATTATTCTATTCCTATTGAATATATTTGCATAATTACATAATTACATTCAAATTGTAAACAAAAATTATATAATGCAATCAATTCATCAATATGTATAGATAGTACTCGTATATAGTTTTAAAGAATTGATTAACAATTTTTTTTTTAAATTAATGTTGATTTATTTATAAAGTGTGTACATAGCTACTCGTATAATTTATAAAAGTAACGTAGTGTAGTATAAAAACTCAAGTGAATTTGAAATTCAAAAAATTTTAATATTGGGAAAAATATATATAGCTATAATTATTAAAATTTTAAATGTATTAGTGTATCTGTATAGCACCTAATTGTATCCAAAAATGGGACAATATTTTATGTTTACACAAACGAATTCTGAATCGATTTAACTCCGTCCGTTCACCCATCTTAGCGATAACTCAAAAATTTGTTAAGCTGATCTAAAGGAATTTTCACCAATTACCGAAAGAAGAGGTGTTATTGCAAGAATACTATTTAATTTGACTTCAGTCAAATTAGTGGTTCTAGTAACTACTATAAATACAACTCTAACAATAATTTGGTCATATATCTGTCGAACTGTAAAGCATATGGTATTAAAATTTTTTATAAATGAGTGCGATCATGAGGCCGATATTACATTAAAATTTGCTTGTAGTCCAAAAATTATTTTAGTCGTGTCTCGGAAATTATAAAATGTACAGTTTTTAAACGTAACTCAAATATTTGCATATAAGTATAACAGAATTGACATGGTCAACTCTATTTTTTCTTCTTTTATTAATATGGGTATTCTATACATGGGCAAAAATAATAATTAATACCGTACATTAAATAAATTTAAAAGTGTCATCACGAAATGGCATAGAGGCAATACGGTACCACATATATTTTTTTGCTTATACATTTTAAAAGTAAAATGATTGCAAGGATACACCAATTAATTATAAAAATATTAATAATTAAAAGCATGTGAATATAGACAAACAAACAATAATGTTAAAAAATAATAATAAATTTCCTTTTTCACTTACATATTAATGTGAAATTTCCCTGCTTCTTTTATCAAAGCGTCATCTAAATTTTGTTTACCTTTTCTTATATATCACCTGTGGAATATATAATATACATACTATGTATAAATTTCATTCAAGAATTAAAAAAAAAAAAAGCAAATATGTAATAATAAAGTATAAATTACAATTACAACAACAACAATTATAAGAATTTTTTTTTTATTTTTTATTTTATTGTATTTGAAAGGTTTTTATATTTTTATTGTCTTATTTGACGTTTTAAAGTGCGTTTGCGCTATTAAACATTACGCAATTTTAATTTAATTTATAAGAAAATATATGTATTATTTATTACCTTTATATACAAGGTATTTAAGAAATAAAATGAATATTTATATATAAAAATATAAGCAGTATAGTCTGTGTAACGAAATCAAAATCATATTGAATTAATGACATTAAAAATTTGACACTGATGATGAATAAAAATGTTATTTGATTGAAATTTTGTTTTACCGCCATTGTATAGCAGTAAATATATTTTTGCTCTTAAAAAATTAAAAATATTTTAATTATTTATTGAAAAATTAATATAGAGAAAATAAAGAAAAATATTAAAATTTTCTTTAGAGAATATTAAAAAAAGAAAAATTCATAATAAAATTGATTTTTTTTTTCTGTAAATGTTTCAGAAATATTTTTCCAAGGATATACAAAAGAAGTGAATGAAATTTTAATAAATTTAAGGAATTTCAAAAAAAAAATAAACAAATTTGTGATTTAATTATTAATATTTATAAAATATTTTTAAAAAAACAAGCTATTTAAGAAAAAAAATATTTTTGATAAAATATTGAAAAAAAAAAATTTAATGAATAAAATACTTTAAAATATTCAAAAAAAGAAATTCAATTTCCTTGAAATATATATAGTGATATATACATAGTTACATAGGTATATGCATGTGTTGCATTAAAGGATTATAAAGGATACATAAGTAAACTTGTTGCATACACCTATTAATATATATACATATATTATAATATTGTTATTTAAAAAAAAATAGAAAAAAAAAAGAGGAAATATATTAAATTTAATCAAAATGGACGATGACACTGATGACAAAGATGATACAAAAAGGTAAGAGAAAATTCAATTTATTTAATTTTTAATTCATCTTATTTTTGATTTATATTTTATAATCTTAAATAATTAGTATTAATATTTTGACTATAGGTATTATAAAATATAATTTATGTATAGATTTACATATAAGAGATATACAAAGAAATTGAAGTGAGTTTGTCTGTAAAACAAATTGACTAAATAAAATTTGTATTCACTAAAAGGGTAATAAAGTAATTTAAAAATTTTTTTAATAATTAAATGTATATACATGCATAGTTAGGGTTGATTCAATGAATCATGAGCAATTAAAGTAGATCTAAATTTTTCTAATTAATAAAGTATTATATACCGATTAAAATGAATTTATATAGAGTGTTTCGTATAAGGTGACAAATGATTCTTTTATCAATTTTTTAGTAAAAAAGTGTATAGTGGGAGAAGGGTGCACATATACTCGTTTTCGAGTTACAGCGTATTGAAAAAAAAACGGTACCAGAACGGTACCAGATTTTTTCTGCATATAAATACATGGTTATAACTTTGGAACCGTGCGACATAGAATAACCATTCGAGACAGGTTTTACATGCGATTGATTGCTCTTTATTTTCGATCTTACAATAAATTTGATTTGAGCCATTGTTTTCGGAATAAAGCTCGTCAAAGTTAAAATTATTTTTTTTTTTTATTTTTTTTTTTGAAAAATTCGAAATTTGTTTTATTTTTTTGTTTTTGCTTTAGACAATGCCGCTATACAATGAGAGCTAAACTTTAACCAATATAACATTTTCTTCTATATCTCATAGTTTTGCCGACAAAACGTGTTAGATATGTTTTGAAAATAAGAGGAAAAGGCAGATTTTATAAATTTTCTTCCGATAGTTTTTCTATGTTGCTCATTTCCGAAGTTAATAAGGATTTATTTAAAAGCAGGAAAAATTTGGTAGATATCTTTTTCTTTTAGCAGGTTGTAGGTCGAAAACGAGTATAACTGTACTCTCCACCTGTATAATTTTTTGTTAGAAATTGATCAAAGAATCATCCCTGAAATTATTTGCCACCTTAGGCGAAACATTCTGCGTGAGAAACAGCATTTTTAAATAAAAGAGTTTTTAATAATTAGGTTTCAATTAAATTTTAAACTTATTTAATTATAGATAGCCGGTAGGCGCTTTCCTTTAAATTAAAGAAATGAAAAATTTCAAATTCGTGACTTGTAAAGTAGCATATTTCCTAATTAAAATTTTATCGGCAGACACATCACTGGTCATTACATTTGACAATAAGATATAACAGCTTGTTTGATTTAAAACGGATACGAAAGCCTTATTGTTCATATATGATATAACATTGCTTTTCAAATATTTTCTATATTTTTTATTGTGTATTTGTGTCTGGTTAATTAGTTGCTTTGTGTTTCAAGAACATAATTTGAATTTTTAAGTTTGACCTATTCTGATTTCCGTCGTAATCAGCAATATATATAAATGAAATTATGTATGTTTTTAAAGAGCTCATCTAGAGGATTAGTCTCGTAATTTTGTATAATTTTAGAGGATAAGTCTCGTAATGAAATAATTTAAGGAAAATCATACTGTACTATAATATTTATGATGTACACTTTAACTGATCGGCAGTTTGATCGGTTTTGTTACGTATACATCAGATTTTTAATAATGCATAATTATCCTTGAATAATAAAAAATTAAAGCAAATAATTAAGATTCATCGAAATATTTTTTTTTAAGAATTTAAATTTTCTTTAATAAATTCTCGTATTTTCTACAACAATTTCTACTCCAATTTACTTTCTTTTTCCCTTTTTTTCCTTTTGAATCTAGATTATTTGTCGAAATATCTAGATTTTTATTATTATTTTGATTGGAAGGTTTCCGGGGGTATGAGTTCTTTAATTTTTTTTAATTGTTTTTAAAATTGAAAGCAAAAAAATCGAAATGTAAAAAAAAAACAAAAAAAAAAACATTCATATAAAGCTTATGTGTAAGACTTCTGTGCATCTAACAATGAATTTAAATCATTCCCAAGGTTTTGTAGGTAGAGATATGAAGATTGATTTTTTTTCTAATAATATGCGTAGACGTGTGTCACAATTTTTAATAACATTCACACAAAAGAATTGAAAAAAAGAAGAATTTTTTTGAATTAATTATCGTACGTAAAATATTTTTCTGGGTGTGATTTTCTTACCATTTCTTTTTTAATGGAAATTAATTTTTAAATAGGTGCTTTCTTAAATTTTAATGGGTACAATTTAAAAATTGGAAATTCTGGAAATTTCCTTTAAAAATTTAAAGAAAATTTTTATACAATTTTCTGTGCTGTATTAGGATGAACTTATTTATTTGTGTGTAAGTTCAGTGAACTATAAAAATATTATTTCGAGTACTGCAGCAGTTTGAAATTTAATTAACCGCTGCAAAGGATAGTATGACTAGTTAAATAATTAATGACAACTACTTTATTTGAAAACCAACTTTTTATATGACGTTTTGTCAACTATGATGGTTATACAAAATTTGTTATAGATTTTTAGGGACTGATGTTTGTTTGCAATGTGGAAAATTTTATTTGTAATGGGAAATTTGTGTGACGTATTTCAAAATACGAATTAAATTTTTCAAGCAGTCATTCTGCTGCACTATCTTGTTCTTTCCCTTTTTTTTTTTAACCTAATTATCTTTTCTTGAATTTTCAAATATTTTAACACATAATCAAATAAAAATTTACCTAATTATGTAACCATAATTTTATCAATGAAATTCTATAGTAAAAAGTTTTATTTTATTTTTTTCAGAAAATCACGTAATCTTAGCGAGAAAAAGCGCCGTGATCAATTTAACCTTTTGGTTAACGAACTCAGTTCAATGGTTTCATCATCAAATCGTAAAATGGATAAATCAACTGTCCTTAAATCGACAATTGCATTTTTGAAACATCATAATGGTACGTCACTTGTTTTCATTTAATTTATTATACTTATTCATTTAATAAAATTTTACTTGTTTTCATTTAAATTAAGATAAACTTGATAATAATTATGGGTCTTTCTAATTTATAGAAATCGCTGTACGATCACGTGTACATGAAATTCAAGAAGACTGGAAGCCATCATTTTTATCAAATGAGGAATTTACGCATTTAATATTGGAAGCTCTTGATGGTTTTATAATAGTATTTTCATCTAATGGTAGAATATTTTATGCATCTGAGAGTATAACGTCATTATTAGGACATTTGCCTGTAAGAATTAAATCCCATAAATTGACAAAAAGATAAATTTATTATTTTATTATGAAACTTACATATTTTGTCTTTTAATTTCAGAGTGATTTATTAAGTTCAACGATTTATGATCTAACCTATGAAGAAGATCATTCTCAACTTTATAATATCCTATTAAATCCAGTTCCTGTTATAGATCCATTACAAGGGGGCCAACTTACAACTGAAAACCAAGTAAATTTTTCATGCCATTTGAAACGCGGTGGATTAGACTATCGTGAAGAAGTTTCTTATGAATTAGTACAATTTGTCGGATATTTTAGTAAGTGAATAATTAGATGAATTCAATAGTTATACCTTATCGAATATTTTGAAATTTAAAAGAAATTCTTTAAAATGAAATCGAATTTTATATATTTTTTTTCTCAATTTTAGGGAGTGATGTAGATTTAGACAATATGTTAACTAATACTCGAACCTGTTATCCGGTGGACCAAGATACAAGACTTATATTTGTTGGAACGGGGAGAATACAGACTCCACAATTAATTAGAGAAATGTCAATTGTAGATTCAACGAAGAGTGAATTTACTTCACGGCACAGTTTGGAATGGAAATTTTTATTTTTAGATCATCGAGCACCTCCAATTATCGGTTACTTGCCATTTGAAGTACTAGGTACTTCTGGATATGATTATTATCATTTTGATGACCTAGAAAAGGTGATTTTATGTCACGAAGCATGTAAGTGTTATAAAAATTTTTGCAGCGAGATTTTTATAATTTAATAATTTAATATATTTTCTTCTTATAATATTTGATTTTAGTAATGCAAAAGGGTGAAGGAAAATCTTGTTACTATAGATTTTTAACAAAAGGTCAACAATGGATATGGTTACAAACACGATTCTATATCACTTACCATCAGTGGAATTCAAAACCAGAATTCGTAGTATGTACACATCGTGTTGTTAGTCATGCTGATGTAATGAAGCAAATGCGAAATTCATGTTCAGGACCGCAAACAACGTCAAGTATTACCCAACAAATTAAAGATTCAAATCCCGATGGATCAGATATGTCAGTAACATCAAACTCGCCGGCTCCTGTCGCAAAATGGACAAGAAATTCTAGAACTTCAAAATTTTCAAGTAATGTTGGAAGCTCCTCAAGTGCTAAAAGTCGTTCCAGACATTCAGTATGTCACGGGAATGGTTCAGATTCTACTTCAATGTCCGCAGATTCACCATCAAGTCGAACTTCGGCTGTAACGCAATATAGTTCGGTATGAACTTTGTTATTGAAATCAAATAACGAAACTATGAAATTTTTTTTAAAATGAATTTTAATTTTTAGCGATCTCGAATAAGGCAGCATAGTCAAACACATCAGAAAATGTTGTTGCAACAGCAACAGCAGCAACAACAGCATCAACAACAGCAGCAACAGCAGCTTCAGCAACATCACTTAGCTGCAGCAACAATGATGCATCATCCTATGCAAGCAAGTTATTCTCCGCATCCTATGCAGCTACAACAAGGCTTAAGTCCTATACCCACTTCAACAGTAATGGGACAAACATTTATTGAACCTCAACAATATCTTACCGCCATACCAGTACAACCTGTGATAGCTCCTGCTTTTGCTCCAGCACCAAGTGCAGTCTTATCACCTTTACCAGTATGAATTAAATATTCTTATTTTTCTTTTGAATGAAAAAATTTAACAGAGCAAAAACTTTTTTTTAGGTGAATACTGACATGTTACCATCTGGTATGGTAATGACTCCAAATCAATCTCATGTTCAAGATCAACTACAACGAAAACACGAAGAGCTTCAAAAATTAATAGTCCAACAGCAAGAGGAACTTCGAAGAGTTTCAGAACAATTATTAATGGCTAGATATGGATTACTTCCACAAATAGTTGAAAGTCCTGTCACATTTACAAATGCCTCTTCATCACAATCACAACAACATCATCAGCAACAACAACATACACAACAGCAACAGCAGCCACAAGGGATGAATCGTAGTTCTGCATCTTCTTTATCTGATCATCAAATGCAACAAACAGCATCGCAAGTAATGCAACGACATCAACATAGTAATATACATTCTGTACATCCTAGTTCTCAACATGATATATCATCATCATCAGCAGCTGGTTCAATGTCAATCGGTTCTGATCATCAATCAACTATTGAACAGCAAATATCAAATCAACATTCACAATCTCAACAGTCACAACAGTCACAACAACAACAGCAACAACAACAACCACAAATGGATCCTATGATGAGTAATCAATTATCATCACAAGAAAATGAAATGATTTCTTATATGCAATTATCAACTGTATCAAATCCACATATAACTAATTTAAATATACCAGGATCTATGCAAGATCAACAAGAACATCAACAACAACAACAACAGCAACAACAACATTCTTTAAATCAACGACAATTACAAATGCCAAATGATTTAGAGATTTTACCATATCAAATGTCAACTGAACAATCACAGTTATTATTTGGTTCACCATCAAGTTCATCACGTCACAGTCAATAAAATATAAATTATTGTCTCAGGAATAATGTATTTTCTATCATTTTTGATGGTGAAAACTCAATTTTTTGGGACTTGGAATCAAATTAATTTTTAACTGAAATTTGTACTAAAATCTTATTATGAAAACTGTGTATAGTGCTTTTATTATGTTTTATTTTAATTTTAAAGAAAATTTAAATAAAAAAATGTTATTATTTAAAGCAACATTTCCAAATATTTTGTAATATTATCTAAATAATTAATAATTATTATTAGCTATGTATCTATACTTAATATCTAAGTGTATAATATTTCCAAACTTTATTATAATTTTTAATATAAAATTAGAATATTTTAGTAAGTATATAGAAAATTATATTATGTATATGAAAATGCTGAAAATGTCTTATGTGAAATTCTTAAATTTTCTAATTTTTATTAATATATATAATATGTATTTATAAAGAAAAAATTATAATAAAAATAAATTAATTTTGATAAAAATTTGATAAAAATACAAGTGTAAATTTACATAAATTAATTATGAAAAAAAAATCAATATTAAAATTAATTTCAAAACGTATAACTTTTAATATTTTCTACGGGAAAACACTTAAAATAAACTATAATATATGTATATATTAATATATATGTATATATTAATATATATGTATATATATATACAATTTATATATCTACATTTATGATCAATTTAAGAAATTAAATATAAATAAAATAATTATAGAATTAAAATTTAGATTTTAAGAGATAGTTTATACAAATTTGCAAATAATTTTAAACAATATGGTTAAAGTTAAATGGAAACTAAAAGAGGAAAAAAAAAACAAGACTTAAAAAATTTTAAAAAAGTTTGAAAATATTTGGTAAAAAAAAAGAAAATTATAGAGAAAATAAATTGAAATCTATTTTCAGATGAAATTGCTACGTATCAGTCAAATGCTATACTTATCAGTTCGCTTGAAAATAAAATAAAAAAAAAAATCTTAAGAAAATTTAAGTGTTTAATTAAATTAATGACTCCAGTTGCCAGCTGGTCGATTCTTATTAAATTATCAAAAAAAAAAATGTGTGGTATAATACTTTCAAAAAATGATATACGAGTCTACTGCCTATTATTAATTAATTTTTTTTATAATATAATGGACCTTTAGTTTTTAAAATAATACTTTATTGTATTAGTACTTAGTGTAGATTGTAGACTACAAAGAAGGACAACAGTGCATCGCGACCACCATATAAAGATCTATTGTGCATATAAAGAAAGGGTAACAGTGCATCATGACAAGCATATAAAGGTCTATTGTGTCTACCGGAGCGAGTACTTAGTTAGCCAGCATTACCCTTCTTTAGTCAATACTCATTCAACACATTGTTGAAATATTGCAAATGTTGAGGTTGAGTAAAGACAGTTGCCTGGAAAACGAAATGTTCCCGTTAATTAATTTCATTTTGAGGTAAATGGAATGAATTTTGCGGTTTAGTTTGTGTATTTTAGAACTTATTTTAAATTCAAATAATTTGTATAAACAATAGAATTTATTGCATAGTTTCGTTAAATCACTTTAGTAAATTAAAGTTTCTAAATATGAATTTTTTTTCAATAAAAAACAGTGTCATGTCAGCATATCGAAATTTTCTATAATATCGTAAAAATATAAGTGAATAAAAAACCGTTTTCTTCTTCTTTGAAATATATTAATTACATTTTCATTTGTAGCCAAGTACCACACATTTATAGATAATTCAGTATTCGCTATTATGTGAACAGTAATATTTACAATAATTATATTGTATAGGATTAAGACAGATAAAGAAAATAGAAGTCGTTTGCCTTCAAAAAAAATGTATCGGATTGATATAGATTGCATTTAGAAAATTATGATTGGGTATATTAATATAAGATTATATGATATAAGGGGGAGAAATTAAAATAAATATTAATTCGATCGTGGTCTAATCTTATTCTAAATTTTTTAAATTATATTTGCCCAGAATTTTTGTAATTCGGTTTTATATACAAAATTTAAAATCATTGGTTAAATTGAAAGTTCAAAATATTTTTATCGGCTAAATTATCACGTATTTATTATGTCTTTATCGATTTTAAGATATATCCTAAATTGTATAGTAAATCTATCAGAAAAGCTTCTGGCGATAGCAAAAGAAAACTCCATGGACGCAATTACATAGTCTTAAATTTTAATGAACTAAGTTACAAAAGTAGTCCGGCATTATCAATAATACGAAATTCTCATTTACATAACGTATAGGTATGTAAATGATTCACAAAGATAAATTTATTTTTAATAGTTAATCTTGAATACTAAATAATCTCGATTTCTTAACTATAAAATATTTCTAAATAATTTTTAGTTTTAGTGCTATGTCTACTAAAAATTTTCTTATTATGATAGTTATCAGCATTTTGCGGACAAATACTCACTACCCTTTTCACACATTATTTATATACAAGATTTTTGGCTCGTATTTGATATGCTGGTATTACAAGGGGTTAAAATTAAAAATTTACAATCGCAAATATTCATGTTGTCATTTAATTTTTGGTAACTGATACAAAAATTTATTTATGTAGGCAGTCATAAATCACTCAGTTTACTCATAAATTTTGATTAGAACTTCTTTATTATCTCTATGAATTTTACTACGTACAACTTACTATTTTTCTTCGTCGAAACTTAAATTTCATTGATTAAAGTAACAAAAATTCATCATTAATATTATTTTAAAATTTAATTTAATTAACGAAAATTAAGAAAAATATTTTTTTCAGTAATAATGACGTATTTAGAGGCAAAGTGTTAAATTAAAAGCAATAGTTAAGAAAACAAAAACAAACATCTGGCAGCTACTATGTTTTTATTGCAAAATTTTTTTAATTTCTATTTTTATAATTTCATGTTTCCTTGATTATTATCTTACCACAGATTCATTTCAAATGGACTAACATGCACTTTAGCCTCGATTAAAGTTAATAAACAAAAGTGTTACTGATAATTATAAATGTATGTATATTATGAGTAAGTATGTAAATACATATGTAAATATTATTGTTCATGTCATATTCATTGATTTTTTTAAATACCTACTCATACTCTACTCAGTTTTTTTTTATTACGGTGCTGTTGAATTGCAGCGGGTCATCAATGTCCAAACAGCAGTATGAAGTGGAATAACAAAAACATTGCTATTCAGCAATTATTATTGTATGTATTACTGAATTAATCAATTTACGTTAGCCCTTTGATCGAAAATGCAAAATTTGTAGATCATTTTCCTGTAACAAATAAGGCATATCATATTCAGTAAAATTGAATTTGCATTTCGACAAATAAACAATTCATGTTCATGAGTTCATAAGTTTTCATATTAAATTTTTATACATATAAAAGATTTTGAAAATCAAACACAATATTTCTGTTTCATTCAAACACTTGCCTACAGAGTATAATTGGGTATACACACATGTACATATTATTTTTGTCATAGTTTTTATCTTATTTTTATTTTGATCGATTATAAAACAGGTTTCCAAATAATTAACTGCACTTTGTTTATGTTAGCAAATAGATTTGAAGTTTACTTAGTATACAACAAAGAGAGCTAGCCAACCTTTTAGTTATTTTTAAAGAAAACTGTTGTACAGTAAATTTTCAAATGAAGTGAAAATGTTATACTATTTGTGAATATGAATAGTACTGAAGTACCTTTTTTAAAAATCTCTTACCGACAATAGTGACACGAACGAGTAATTGGAAGTGGGTGAGTAGTAGAAGGGGGTAAATGAATGCACTTTTAGTGCTTTTGTTATTTTCTCTAACTATACTATAGTTATTCCTGACATATTTAATTGTTTTTAAGATTCCAATTTTTACACTCTAAAATTTTTCATTAAATTGCAAATAATACAGTATTAATTCACCATTCAGCTTCTATATTTTGTTGCTGAATTATGTATGTATGTTTAACTACAATTTTGTAATATATATGTATGTAATTCCAAACAAATTAATGCTCATTGTTAATACTGTTATATTAACTAATGATCATCGATAATATTGTTAGTGGCAAGTATAAAAGATTTCAAAGCCCTGTTTACCAACATATCTCATAGTAAATTATACTGTCAAATTAACAATTGCACATTACTTCAAACCAAATTTTTTTTTGTAAAACTAATTTAGTACAAAAATATCCAAATATATAAAATTGTATCGGCTGTGTTTATTTCCAAATAATAATGTTTTATAGGTAAATTAATAATTTTTGAATAAAAAATATAACAATTCAAGAATATTAAATTATATTTGAAGAATCTTTTAAAATATTAAATTAAAGGGAAATAAATTAAAAACATAAGAAATAAATTGTATTTAATTGAAAAATATAAAATTGACTGCCTTAGTTTGGGAGTTAGTTAGACATTAAATATGCAAACGTGCTAAATACTGAAAGTGTAATGACTACAAGCGCGTGGAAGTTTAAATCGATTTATTTTAATTTATATAAAACCAAAAAGTTTCCTTATAATTAGTTTTTATTAGAAAACCAATAATTTTTATTTATTACTATAATCAAGTCACAGTAGCAGAGTTATACAGCCTGTTAAATTACGTAGTTTACATATAAACTATTATCACATGATATACTTAGAGCAAATATTCCAATATAATATTTTATAATAAAAAAAAAATAGTTATTTAATAATATTTTGATTAGTTAAAGAAAAAACAGCAGCTTCTATCATCATAATTTATTCAAAATATTTAAAAAATGCAATTTATTTATATTTGGGTTATTTATTTTTTAAGGCATAACAAAAAACAACAACAATGTGTTAAATAATTTTCAAATTTAATCATTTATTAAAAAAAAAAATATTTGTCTCTTATCAATATATGCGATTTTATAAGTTAACGATCTACAACTAAAAATATCGAGGTAAAATTTGAAAAGTGAAGCAAAAAATAATAAAAACAAACACACAAAATCTTCAGAACTTGTAAATTACAAATAATAATTATTATCAAGAAAAAAACAATTATCTTGTATACCGCATCGCAATATTATACTTATTTACTATACATACATACATACATACATAAAAAATGAACTAGAAACTTAAATAAGTTGAAGGAAGCAAAAAAAAAATATTCATATTAGTTTTTTTACTTTTAGTGGTCGCATTTTAATATTTATAATTATTGATCTTTAAAAGTCCACAGTAATTCATGAACAGTTTGACAGTATAGATTTAAAATTTATTTAGAACGGTCATAAATATTTTATTAATTTTATAAATTAATATTAAAGATTGGAAAAAAATTTAAGATTGTAAAATAAAAAGGATTTGAAAGGAATTGAAATTGTGGTTTTTTTAATAAAAAATATTTTAATTAATTAATACAATTTTTAAGAAAATAAAATACAAGAAAGTGTCATAATTGTAACAGTAAAAAACAAGTGACATTAAAAAATAAAAATGATTAAAGCTCAAAGGCAAGAATCTCTGGAGCAGGTACATATTTTCTTCTAACTCAGATTTAAAATTCTGAAAATTAGTTTAACTATTAAGCATATAGAATTTCGTCTAACTCATCAAAATTCTTTCATTCATCTTAATTTAAAAATTTTGGATTATCAGACACTTTAAGACAACAATATTTTATTTATTATTTATTAAGATATTAATAATTAAGTATTTGAAAATTACTTAAAAATTTTAAAATTAAATACAATAACAATTGAATAAAATTATCATATGAAGTTCTCGAAATTTGAATCAAAAACAAAAATTATATAGTTTCTTCGAAATTGTAGAAATTATCAAAGTTTACTATTGTGCTATCAGCAATAAATCTTAATTTGGCATAAGTTTTTAAATATTTTGTAATTTTCATGTTCTGTAATTTATTGTAAATTACTTATAATATCCAAAAATCTTACAAATCTTAAAAAGCGCCTGTCTTACACACGCACGGAATCATACTAAAAATTTCAAAAAGTAAAAAATCAGTCAAAATTAATTTTAAACCACTGTAACTCCGAACCCGTTGAACAGTGAATATGGTCTCCATACAAAATTTCATGATGGCTCATACAATGTTTTATTATAGCAATGCACTCTGATACGAGGAATATTGTTGGAAAGGTTTCGACGGGATTCATTACTCTTGTTCTGGGCTTAGCACTAAAATAAATAAATAAATAAAACTGTTATTTCCTTCCTTCTGAAATAGCGCAGCAACTTGCCATAGGTTAGCTAGTATTGTGACAGTATAACACATGTTATGTATACGACAGTAATCGAATGGATTAATAAAATAATTAGTGAAAAAAACTATTCTACAACTCGACTTGAATAATAATAAATTTTTCATATTCAAAAGAATTTTTCTATACACTTACCATCAAATTTCAAATTTAAACATTCTATACATAATTTTGTGATTTCAAAATATACGTGTAATGTGATTAAATATTGCAAAGTCAAAACTATTTTAGGCTAACGCAATATTATTGTACTATGTCGAAATTGTATAATTCAATAATTGTAGGCATCTATTTCATCATAAAACTTTCCATTCAATCCAGTACAAATTTTTCCAGTTTTATTAAGAAAACTAGAATATTATTTTATTTTAGAAGGGTAAAATATTAATCATATAGATTAATTAATTGAAACAATTAAATAAACTTTGTAATAAAAATAATTGAAAGTAATTTATTAAAAAAAAAATAAATCTAAATTTAACTAGATAATTATTAAATATTAATTATTATGTATGAATTATGTGTTCATACCTATTGGGAGTTAAAAAAAATTTGTTAAAGTTTTAATTTTAGATCATATAATTTTAATTGAATATTCGGGGTTTCCATTGAAACACGAAAATAACATTGGATTAAACTATTACAATCATTTAATAATGTTAGCCGGTTCTTTTGTTCTACATTTTTATACCTTGCACTTGAATCTGCGAGATGGGCATGTATATATATTGTTGGTCAGCATAAGACTCTGCGTTGATTTAGAAATTCTGTCCGTCCGTCCTTCCAACAGTATCATAACTCAATAATCTATAAAACAACTACCTCCTAACTTTCACAAGCAGTTTTTATTTTTGTACAAAGAACGAACCCTTTTGTAATTGGAGGAATTTAGACAACGGGTTCGGGTAGCAGCCGTACAACTCAAAGATATTATTTAAAATATTTCAAAAATTAATAAAAATATAACATTATGTGTGCATGGTGTCTAATTACATTTTACATATGCTCTAAAAATTTTAATAAAATAGCTGCACTGGTTCGAATAGCTCCTATACAACCTTAAAAGCCAATGTATTATATAAGGGTTATAATTTCAAATTTAGTTTAGTGACAAAATCTCATTAAATTTCTTTTTAAGGGGTAAGGTTAATTAAAAATAGAGTTAAAGAGCGAATAGAATTTTCAAGCTATAGTAAAACCCAATACCTTTGTATATGATTAATGAAAATTTAAGTTTATATTGTTTTTTTTTTCGAATATTGATTGTTGTGTAACAAGATTCTTATGAATTATTGCAATAAATAAATACCCATAAAATTTTTAAATGTTTTTATATGAAAATTTTTGAATTTCTTATTTAATTCCTAAGAAATTATGCTACAATAAGTTTAACAAGAAATTAATAAGTTTACTATGAAATTATAATTTTAATTATAGGCAATTAACTAAGCTCTTTTATTACTTGTTTAAAAAGCTCTTGCAAGACTCTATTATGTATTAAATGTGTTTTGAGATTTTAAAAGGAATTTAGAGAAGAAAATTAAAAATTAAAGTTAATTCAATCATTTTAGGTATTTGTGGAAGTGTTATAATAGTGAAAAAATCTATTGCTTGACTAAGAGTTATTCTTTTTTAAAAATACAATTTGGTAGTCAAATGTAATACAAAAATATTTTAATTAAGACTATTATATTGGAAAAACGAAAATATTTGAGTTTAACAACGTTTTATATTTTAAGTGTTATTATCCAGTTCCAAAGTATTTCTTGTTTCATTTGATATAATGCATAGTTATAAAATTAACGACCGCATTGCATTTTCGTATATCGAGTTCTCGGCGGATATGCACTTCTCCGTGACAAGGAAGCACATATCAATTTTTATAGGGATGTCTGTTGACCTGTCTGTTAGTCTGTCTGTGAAGATTAGTATCTTAATGTCGGCTAAACCAATTTCCGTGAAAATTTATATTTGTTAACTTTGGTTATGTCATCGGTTTGATCAACTTTTGGAATATGAGCTTCGTTTGACAGTACGAGAAATCTTCTAATTTTTCGAAGAAATCAGATGCCAGCAATTGGACGTTTACTACGAGCCGAATTCACATTTTTTACTATATCTAAAGAACTAACTGACAAAATTTGTTGAAATTTAATATTTGAGTTCAGTTTACTATCGCAAGTAAGTGACGAATTTTTCAGGGAATTGAATAAACCATACACTTTGCGGTCGATTATATGCTGACCGCACACCTGATTTTTGACTATTTATATAGTATTGTTAATGAGAATTAAGAATAATTTTCGATGTTAAATGAATCTTAAAATTATTTTCATTCTTTATATTATTTTATATAATATTATCACTTATCAAAAAGTTAATTTCCATGATGAAGCAAAAACTTGTTGTCGTAATAATGAATAAAAACGTTCTTCTCCTTATATGACAAAACACATCACATAATAATTAAGAAAGTAAAACAAATATATATATACATACATATATTGTTTTCAATATTTAGAAAATTATTATTAATTTAATCTGTACATGTTATATGAAATATTTTTGGTAATAATAATTGTCTTTTGAACTTTTGACATTTTAAAATGTTTTGCATATATTTAGAAATTTAATAACAAAATATTATTAATCCCATATATTTGACGTTAATTCCCGATTATTTAAAGTGTTGTTACCTCAGGGCAAATCAAACTGAAAATAAACATAGTACACTTGTTTTGGATTGAGCATTTCAAATTTTATATGTTTTTATAATTTTAAAAGACTAAACGTTATGTTTTTTAAAAGGTAGTTCACCAAACGGAAAATTGAAGTTTTTCGCAAATGGAGCTCTTCAAAAGCAGGAATTTTTACTAAACATCCTAAAAACAGCACATTAATTTTTAAAAATAGTTCTATTTTATAACTAGATTTATCACATAGAATAATAAAGTCACAATAGAAAAATAATTTCTAGAAACAAAAGACTTTCTTCAAGGTCTTCCAATATTTAATATTTAGCATTGTTCATCAAGCGCGACGAGACTAAATTTTAACTTATGTGACGTCACAGAGTTTTGTCGATGATATTGTATTTTGGAATGATTAAATTGGATTGAAATTTGATTATTTTCTGACTACTGTCGAGAATTTTTTACACCCTATTCAAAGTGAGACCGGCAATGATTGTAAATCTTTAGCCAAAATTATATTCGTTTATTTCAGATTTTAAAAGTTTTCGGCACCCTGTATTATTAGTGTTGTAATCCATATATAGCGTTATCAATTAATTTATATAATTTTGTATTAGAATTTTTTTTAAATAATTTATTATAAAAAAAAAACAAAAATATATTATATATAAAAAAATTTTTTTAATTGATAAATATTGGACTTTTAAAGGAAAAAGAATTAAATAAAGTGAACAAAATAATTTTTTGATTAGCTAGTATCATTCGATTTGCCGTGGGATTTAAAACTGTTTTATTATTCAATACGGAAAAATTTAATTAAATTTTAAATTGAATATTCAAAATTTTTAATTTTTTTTTGTCGGAAAGTAATAAAATTTTTTTAAAATGGAACGCAGACCATCGGTTGATAAGGTAAAATGGCATGTTGTATTTAAATTACAATATTCAAAATTTTGTTTCCGAATTATGGCGTGAGTGATTCTTTGTGATAACATTTAAAATTTTAAAATTGTTATTTTGTTCAAAATCCAAAATAAAAATATCCATTGATTTTATTAAAAAATTTATTAAATAAAAAAAATAAAATGCAATTTAAGTATTTCAAATTAATCTTTATAAATTTTAAATCCAGAGTTATAGATATTTGAGTCCAGTTCATATTTTAAATACAAAATTTTAGAAAAGATGAAATTGTTAAAAATTTATCAAAAAATAGTGAATAAATTCAGAGTGCTCAGTGTAAATTTATGAATTTTAATTTAAGCTCTATAACACTGTTAAAAATTATAGAAACATAACTGTTCTTATGCATATTAAACCTAAAAAAATTGCAAGTATATTACTATGAACGGAATTTGAGAAAATCTGAATTTGTTATAGTTACTCTTAAATAGATATCTATAGGTTGATTTTCGGAATCAGTCCAGGGTTCGTGTAAAAAGAATGAACTTTGTATACTCGTATGATTGGAAAGCAAAATACTTCCACTACATATTTTATTTTTCTATCGTCCAGATGCAGAAACGGAATATTGCAACATTTTAATGTACAAGTTTAAATAATATTCGCTTTTAATATACGAGATTATATCTATGACGGTTCTAAGTGCTGACGGTATATTAATTTTGCAAGCGCAACTAAAGTTGTTGCAATATTAATTAAATCATCAACTGCTTGATTGAGCTGGTATTTTAAATTACGTTTCTTGTTTGGATTAAGATTCTAATTCTTCTATTCTGCTCTAAATTATGATTCTGTCTATTGTTATTCAGTTTCACTATTATTTATTCGCTTATTTCATTATAAGTGTTAATTAATTTCAGAAAATTGTTGGTATAGGGCAGTAATACTATTTGCATTTTCGTGTAAAAGAACTACATCTGTATGTAGATGTTAATGATTCTACGTTTATACACCAATATCGTATGACAAGTGATTTTTTGTGGTCTGTATAGGAAACTAAATGAAATATGAATTTTATCATAACTAAATAAAGCTTATGCTACAAGTTAATATGATTTAATAGTATAGTTATATCTACGAGTTGAATTAAATATAAGAATTAATTAAGTTTTTTTTTCCATATGTATGGTAGGTGAATGAAGTTGTGAATACAATATTTTAAGCTTTTATTGCGTTTAGCTGCATTGCGATTTTATGAGCTGCAATATTGTAATCTACAAGAAAATTCATCATATTTTACATTACATATTTATTTTATAACATAATAGTTTTACCCTTTCATTAAAAACATATGTACTATACTATTTGCTAAGGTATAAATGCATAAAATTTTCAATTAATAAAGTTAGTCGTAAACTTGCCATCGCTAATAAAACATTTTTTTTTATCTAAATAATTTTTTTTTTTAATTAATTTAATTTTATTTATTAATATTAAATTAGCCAACTCGTGTTGTTGGATCATATATTATGGAGGGTATTGATATTGAAAAGGGTCGTAATGCTTGTATTATGTTTTCACCACAAACAGAAGAGGCCGGAGCATTAGCTACAATGCTAAAAATATTTAAAGATCATGATGTTAATTTGGTACATATTGAATCACGTTCATCAGATCGTTGTCCTGGTTATGAATTTTTTGTTGAAATTGATACTAGATCTGGTTCAATTGGTAAAGCAATTGAAGAAATTCGATCAAAATGTAATTATTTTAATATGATATCAAGAGATTATAAAGATAATAAAGCAGCAGTACCATGGTTTCCACAACGTATACGTGATTTAGATAGATTTGCAAATCAAATTCTATCATATGGAGCTGAATTAGATTCTGATCATCCTGGTTTTACTGATCCAGAATATAGAAGTAGAAGGTATGTAAAAACTTAATTAGAACAATTTTATTCCTAAGTTCTTTAACGTAAAGGAACACTAGTTTTAAGTTCAATTTAGAAATTCATATGCTTAAACTGAATTTAGCCGTTTATATTCGAATTACAAATTGAGCTTAAAATCTGCATTGTTTCATTATAGATCCTAAGAAATTAGGACAATGTTATAAAATTATTTTTTTTTTAATTATTATTTTCTAATTATTTATTCTAATTATTTATGTAGAAAATATTTTGCTGATATTGCTTATAATTATAAGCATGGTGAACCGTTACCACATGTTGAATATACAAAAGCTGAAATTGAAACATGGGGAACAATATTTCGTAATCTAACAAAATTATATGAGACACATGCATGCCGTGAATACAATCATGTTTTTCCATTACTAGTTGATAATTGTGGCTATAGAGAAGATAATATTCCACAATTGGAAGATGTATCAAATTTCTTAAAAGGTTTCTGTATATATGAACAAAATTATTTGAAATTTTTTTTTTTATATTTTATTGTTGTTGTTTCATTTTAGTTATACCAACATTATTGTAAATGTAATTTTATATCACAAATTTTGTAATTTTTTTTTTTCTGTTCTTTTTAATGTCATAGATTGTACTGGTTTTACATTACGACCTGTTGCTGGTTTATTATCATCACGTGATTTTTTGGCTGGTTTAGCATTTAGAGTATTTCATTCAACGCAATATATAAGACATCCAAGTAAACCAATGTATACACCAGAACCAGATGTATGTCATGAATTATTAGGACATGCACCATTATTTGCTGATCCAGCATTTGCACAATTTAGTCAAGAAATTGGTTTAGCATCATTAGGTGCACCAGATGATTATATTGAAAAATTGGCAGCTGTAAGTGCCTATTATTTAAATTAAATTAATAATATGTATACATTATAAATTTTTTGTTTTTACAATATAGATCTTTTGGTTTACTGTTGAATTTGGTTTATGTCGTCAAAATGGTGAACTTAAAGCATATGGAGCTGGTCTTCTTTCATCATATGGTGAATTACAATATTCATTAAGTGGTACACCAAAATTAAAAGATTTTGATCCTGAAGCAATGGGTGTACAAAAATATCCAATAACACAATTTCAAGAAGTTTATTATGTAGCTGATACATTTGAATCAGCTAAAGAGAAAACAATGTAAGTACAAATTTTATATATGATTGTATTTTTGAATTTAAGTATATGATAATTAATTTTTTTTTATTTATTTTTAGTAAATTTGCAAATACAATACCAAGACCATTTGGTGTACGATACAATGCATATACACAGAGCATTGAAGTATTAGATTCAAAACATCAAATTGAAAATCTAATGTCAAATATTAATTGTGAATTTCAAATTTTACAAAATGCAGTACAGAAATTAAAAATTTAATTCAAAAAATTGTAAGAAAAACCAAAATGTACATAAAATATTCATTAATAATGTAAGAAATAAATTTTTAGTTTGTAAGTTTTAAGCCTTAAAAAAAAACTTTATTTGTGGGGGTCAATAACTTTTTCATTTTATATATTAGCAACTATTTAAATTTTTTAAATAGAATGTTAAGCTAAAAAATGTTTCTTTTCTAAAAGAAATAAAAATATTAATGAGCTTTTATTAAATATCAAATATACATATACGATTAGAGTAACAATGTATTTATGTTTTAATTAAATTTATTCTAATAATTATGATTTTTTTTTTGTATTTTAAATAATTAACACATTTTCTTTTAATTTGAGTTTAATTTCATTATATTCAAATGGATGTAATACATTCTAAAAGACGTTCACCTACTATATAAACACTATTAACTGATAACCTTTATATTTTTAAATGTAGATCACAATAATTTAGCAGATACGTATAAGAAGTTACTTGAAGCTTTTTAAAATGATTTCAAAATATTATATTACTGATCTAAGAGTAATAAGACGGGAGTTAATTATTGATATATATATGTATGTAATACAAATGCGAAAATTTACATAAAAACTCGCTGATCCTCTCACTTTAAAAAAGAATTTAAAACCAAAGAGAAGGTTCTATACTCCAATAGTACGGCAAATACTGGAAATTTAAAATTTACAATATACAATAATAAGATATAATAATAAAGAAATTCCTTACTTTTTCCAAATTCCAAATGACTCATTCGGGTATTTGATTTTCAATATTTTTTCTGATTGTATCAGAAATATGGCAAATGTAGGATCAAAATTATAAATAGGATTGTAGTAAAATTCATCGAATATTTTTTAAGAGTGTGAAAAAACTTTTACAAGTTAGAATATGTGTGAACTTCAAAACTTTATTGTGTTTGCTGTTATTATGGCAACACTTCGATTTTTTATAACGTAATTTATGATAATTTCATTATAAGTTTACTGTCCATCAAAAATTTCTATAATCTAATTTTCATCGTATATACATATGTACGTTTAATTTAAAGTTCTTGAATTGAACTCACAAAATAAATTTAATATAATTCCGTATACATGTACCCACATACATATTTTGTATAACGGTTAACGGAATATTTTATCTTGACATATACATACGTGATTATAAATTTTTGACATACATTTTACGATAAAAATTACAAACAAAAATATTTCACGATTCATGAAAATTTAAAAAATAATTTTGGTTTTACACTACTAGAGGCGTTGTCATCAAATTTTTAGAAAAGCTCTAAAAAAATATATTTAATTTTTAAAAATAAAAACTTTTACGATATTTACAATTAAAGTTTTTATCATCAAACATTTTATGTGATATATTTTGTCTTACACAATATTTGCAAAAAAAAGGGTAAAAATATTTTGACATTTAATTTATAATTTAGGAAAATATATAAAATTTTAAATAAAAATTAAATTTTTAAAATAATGTTAAACTAATTCATTAAACTAATTCGAATATATCAGGAGCTGCAATAAAAAAGAAAATATTTTTCAAAAAAAAAATTTTTGCAAATACGAGTACATTAATTTAATTTTAACAAAATTTACCAGAGGCGCTCTAAGTACAAATACATATATAAGTTAACAAAAAAAAAAAGCTTTTTTTGTTTGTTGTAAAAAAAAACAAGCTGCTATAAACGTTTTTAATTAACCCATTCAGATTCGAGGTACTTAATAGTTCGCTCAACTAGCCTAAACTTCTAAATAATTGAAATGATAAAAAATCAATAAATATTAATTTCAATATAAAATACCTTTGTTAAAAAAATGTTTAAAAATTTTAGTTTAGAATTTTTTTTAATTCTAACTTCAATTCTTCAAAAAATCTCAATTGATTTGATTTATTTAGCACGACAAATAACATACACTTGAATAATTGCACTAAGCACATAACAAATTTTCGGAAAAATCACATAAATTTTACGCTATATTATGATTTTTCATTTTATAAAGATATTCTAAAGATTTTTTAAAAATACCCTTGCCTATCCTTTCATTGCCTACCCGTCGTTTTTATTCTTTATTATAATCACCCAAACAAATCTCTTTCCTTTCATTGCAGCATAATGTTATTTAGTTTTCAATAGGGTTAAAAGCTTTTACGATATCCGAATTATTTATTTAAATAAAACTAATATCGTAAATTTGCAGAAGTGTTTTTTTTTGTTCTTAGAAAACAGGAAAATCTTTGTTTGTTTGTTTTTTCTTTCAGCTATTGCGCGCTTTGAAATTATTTTCATCCTACTATTTGGAAAAGAAATGGTTATATGACTTTGTTGTGTATTTTTGTGGGTCCACAATGTTTATAATACGATTTACAAAAACAAAAATGTTTTTACAGCATCCAATAGAAGTGAAAATTAAAATAAAATTCATTCATAAAATGAAAAATTTTTCGGATTTTCTTTTTTTTTTTTTTTGATAACAAAGTGTTCTTGTTTTATTTTAGGTTTTTTGATTTTTTTTTTCTTCTTTATTTTATAGATAAACAAAAAGGATAAAAAAATAAAAATTGAATCCTGTTTAGTTGTAAACGATCATCCGAATCTTATGGTATTCGAGTCGCGGAAGAAAATAATATTGGCAAGAATTTTAATATTTAAAGAATAAATAAGCAAAAAAAAACAATAGGAAAACGGTACAATAATTAAAAAGGAAGAAAGAAAAATAAAGAAAAAAAATAAACAAATAAACATTAATTTTGTTTCTTTTGTTACTTTTTTTTTAAATTTTGCCTTTTTTTTATTATTAACAGTTAACACTGTTATATTGTATCTCTATCTGTAAAATGTGATAAATATGTATGTAGATTGAAAATCAAGATAAAAACAAAAAGAAATAACGGGAAAATTTTTTTTTGTCTTTTTTTTTACGTGAAATTTTTATAATGAAAAATATATAAAAATCAGCAAAGATATTTGATATGATTTAGTCCACGTGAGAACTTGTTGGGCTTATGGTGTTAACGGAATAACATTATTTTTTGTAAAATTCAAGAAAAATAAAAAAAAAAAAATAACAAAAATTTTGACAACAAAAAAAATAAAATACGAAAATATTAACGGTATATTTTTCAATAAATTTTATTTTTAATTTAATATGAAAATTTGATTTTTTTTTTTAAATTAAATAAAAAAAAAAAATAAATAATTGTTTTTTGTTTTAAACGGTCGCTTCATTTTGTACATACCAAAATTTCTTGGTGAATATTTTCACTATTAAAATTTAATTGACCAAATTTTGATGGTGAATAAAATTTTCATTATTTAATTATTAATTGAAAGAGGAAAATCACATTGTATAACAAAATAATTAAAAATAATATAAAAACACAAAAAAAATTAACAAACAAATTGTTTATTATCCAAAATTATTCGTCCTGTTTTTGTTTTCTAATATATTTTTTTTATTTTAAATTTTATTCCTATTTATTTTATTTGATGTTGTTAACTATTTTTTTTCCTCCCATTAATCCGAATTGGTCATCGGAATATATTTTTTTTTCCTCTTCAACTTATTGCTTTTATTGCTTGTATATTAAATGAAATTTTTAATAAAGTTACAAAAAAATAATTTAAAATTTATACATTATATTTTTCACAAAACATATTCATTATTGTATATTTAAATTATTATACACTGTTATACGATATTATATACGGTATTGTATTTATATACCGTGTATAATATAATGTTGTATATAAATTATTATTGAAACATAAAAATTTATAAAAAGCGATACTAAAAAAAAGAAAATTTTGTTGTGAATTATTGTGTAAAAGTCCTGGTCAAGCATAAAGGATATAAAAGTCAAATTTATATGAAAAAAAAAATATATAAAATTAAAAAAAACGGTGTTAATAAATGGAAAAGTTTCGTTTTAATTTTAATTTTTTTTGGTGTGAAAAATGTATGAGGAAATAATAAACAGGAAAAAAAAAAGTAGAAGAGAAAAAAAAACAAAACGTGTTAAAAAAGGAATATAAACATAAAGAGAACAGGACTTGAAAAAATAAAAATAAAATTAAATTAAAAAAAAATATAAAAATAAAAGTAAAAAAAACAACAAAATCATCGGATCATACATCAACAATGCGGTTACCATAGATTGGGGCTTTATTTTTATTTTTGTTAATTTTGTTTTATTTTTGGTGTTCCTCATCATGATATGGTCATCGTATATATTGAATTTTGTTGGTAGCCAATATGAATATTAAGTTTTTAACAAAAATAACAAAAAAAAAATATATAAACCAGAAAATAAGAAAACAGAGGATATTCTTGTCAATTTATTTTTGTAAAATTGAAAAATTTTAAATGAATATTTATATTTAAATATACATACATAAATATATATGCATATATATAACATAATGTTGGTGTATATACATATATAAACATGTATTTAAGTATGAATTTAAAATTTATATCAAAATGTATGTATGTACGTTAAAAAACTATACATTTAAGCAGTAGATATTCTATAATGTAGATATAAGTACCTACTGAGACCAACATTTCAGTTTGTGCATCGATGCACTTTGGATATTTTGAATATTTGTATATGGTAGAAAAAAAAAATGTTTATTAGTTTCAATTTATTTTTTTTATTTAAAAAAAAATACTAGCTATATATAATATGTATGAATAAATTTATTCAGGATATTTAATAAAGAAGCGACCGTATAGTATAATTAAAAATATACCTACTTTTAATGCATTATTGTATATTATTATTATTTAAATTGTTATATGAGATTTTTCTGTCACAATACACAACAGATAATTAAAATTGTTATACCGTATGTATGTATATATATGTAAATACATGTAGTGTATAATATACTATTTAAATTAAAATATATACATACAAACATACACTATGTATGTTCCTGTATGCTAATAATAATTATTGCATATCCTCGTACTTATATTAAAAAAGAGAAAAAATAATAAAAAAAAATCAAAATGTATTTAATAAAATATTTTTTCTGATTTTTTTTTTCTTTGCATAAACGACACAACAATAACATGAAATAAATTTAATAAAAAAAAAAATAGAAAAAAGAGAAATAAAAAAAAAAGAAAACAAAGCAAGAAACAAAACAAGAGTTTAATATTATTCTTGAGGAGAGGAAGAGGAGAGAAAATTTTATAAAAAAAAAATAAAATAAAATAAAAAGTTTATTAACAAAAAATAAGAAAAGAAAAAGAGAAATT